TTTGTTTGCCAGCAGTGAAGCCCAGCCAGTGAAACACTGTTACTGGCTTTGCTTTAAAACCAGACTAATGAGATAGAAAACAGTTCTTCTATCATCACCTCCTCTGTCCATCTTTTAACCACTTCCCTAAGCTTCTCTTTTCACTGCTGCATTACTCATTTGCTCTTAATCAGCCTTTTCTCCTCAACTCAGTTACTGCAGGTTGGTTCTTGCTCTCAGCCCAGGCTCAGTCCAGCCCCCTGCAGCTACAGTCTGGGTCTTTTAACCGGGACTCATGAGCAACAGTACAGCCGAGTGTGAAATTGTACCCAGTCGCTGCGGCCCATTGATAATAACAGATTGCCTGAAGATAATGTCCACCTCTCTGTGCACATACTCCCAGTCATGCCGACGTGATGCACATCACAGAGGTTTCATCACAGAGGTTTGGCTCTGTGAAAGCTACTGGGACGTGTCCTGAGGCCGATATTTTATTGTGCTGATCAGCAAGATGATGCCCCCAGCCCCCACATTTTAAGAAGTAAGCAATTAGGTAATTAATCAAGACATTTAGGAATAGAATAAACATTAGTTGAAGCCTGAAAAAAAAAACATTTGTTACTGGGTGATCTCCCAGCTCTAACAAGCTGGTGGTGTTGCTGATTCTGGAGCAGCTAACAGTAACCCCTCGTGGTGGTGGGCCTGTAATCACCCTGATGCACAAATCACATAAAAATCCAACACATACTGGATTTAGTTGATTTCATCATAAAAAGATTATTTTTGTTGCAGATGCATCTTCTCTCCTGACACAATCCTGTCAGATCACACACACACACACGAAGTCTGCCCATCATTTGAGCACTGGACAGCCATATTACTACAGAGGAGATAAGTGATCTCTCACCGATAACGAAGGCCTCTTTGAAAGTGGTGCCAGTGACGTTGTACCAAGGCGGTCTGCCAGCAGTGTAGATGGTCCGTTTGTTGGTCCTCAGCAGCGGAGGCTCCGTCTTAGACTGGCTTGTGGTCCGTTTCCGTGGCGTTAATGAAGGGGTCAAAGGGCAGCGGGGGACACATTTTGAGAGGCCATCCAGGGAATCATCTCCACTGCCACTGTTCAAAGTTCAAAGGGCTGCTCTTTTAATAATAAGTTTTAGTTATATAGCACATTTAAAACAGCAAAGCTGTGCCAAAGTGCTTCACAAGCAAATACAAGCATAACAGTTACCATAAATACCAAATTAAAAGCAAGTCATAAAAGTCAGTACAAGTACCAATTAAAAGATATAACAGAAGAAAAATCTAAAAACAAACAAATCTAATACATCACCTGCACCAATAACTGGAAGACAATAAAATATATTAAACCTAGAGGCCAAATGCTAACTCTAAAACTTCTACAGGGTGCGTTCAACAATCACTATTCACTGTTCTTAACATTTGAGTAATACGAGTAGTCCAGTTAATCAGTGTGTTCAAAAACAAAACACCAGTTTACTTGGCAGCACTTGATTTGATGCACCAAGTCTAACTGTAGCTCTACCTGAAACATAATTATTAAAGTCAGACTTTACAGTAGACTGGAGCTCAATCAGTCCCTGTGACTCGTTGCCTGCATGTTCACTTGTTTAATTTTGTGTTGGTTGCCATCAGAGATGCCTTGTTAGCTCATAGTCGACCCCAAACTGCTGCTCCAACAGGCACTTTGGTCATTACAAGGTATCTGCAGGTTCCACAGAGTTAAATTTGTGACAGAGCTTAAATAACTAATCTTACCAAAAGCAGCCCTTTTCTGACCAAACACAGGTAACCCAAGTTGTGAAGCCAGAAAAGGGGCACTAGTAAATTTTTTTATTTTTTTTAAATGTAAACATCTGAGGACCTGCAGACAGTCCTACTGTCCTGCAGAGAGATCGGAGGGAGTCTTTGTTCTCTAGCGTCTCTCTCCACACTCTTCTCTCCACAGTGAAGCCTCTGCTGTCGGTGTGGCTGAGGGGGAGGAAGGGGGAACTTGCCAACCGTCCCCAGGAAATCACACCGATACCTTGGACACAGCAGGATTCAAGGTGGGGGCCACTGTTCGCATGAGTAAGGCTGTCATCATTTGGCTTGAATGTACAAGTGAAAAGCTGCTTTATTAAACATGACTCTTGTCATGTCCATAAAGCCATTTTTCTGAGCTGTTTAACTACTATATACTGCTCTTCAGTGTCTAGTTTTACAGATGAATACTTATGCAAAGAAATAATACAAACTCTAAAAAGGCCTGTAACTGAGCAGCTCAAGTTATAAAGCAGAGAGGCCTTAACCAGTTGATTAAGGGTTAATCCCAGTCACCATGTGAAACTCTAACAATCACATACAGATGTTCTGATCTGATTCACACACTAGCATGACTGCCACACACCTGATCCTCTGCACATCCTCAGTGCTAGTTAGCCACAAGGCAGCATTAGCTGGCGTTGTGACGAGAATGGAAACATTTAGTTTTCTATCAGCACCGGTTAGTTATATCAACTGTAGTTTCTCCCTCTTCATTAGATATATACTTGTAACTTACACAATTAATTGAGGCTAAATGTCATTTATAGTTAGTGGTTATCTATGCAGACTGTACCAGGCCACACTGAAACATAATAAAAACATTTTGTCAAGTGTAAACGCTTTCCAAGAACATAACGCGCATAATTAATCAAATCTTCCATTAAGTCTGGCAGGACATCCTCTATAAAATGGAATGTATCGTTAGAAGCGATAGTGAAACCACAAATTGAGTGTAACTTAGCAAGGTAGAGCAATGCAAACGAAGCCTTTGACAAAACAGTATGATGTGGCCACAATCTCTATGTTGTAGTTTTAGTGTTATTTGAATTTTCCTCGGCTGTTTGTCTTTTGTTCACTGCAGCCACGCTAACACTGACTGTGGTTCCGCTAGCCAGCTAGCTGCCTTAAATTAGCCAACAGAAGCCGTTTTGAATGCAGAGCTCGCCTACACCCGCACCACAGAGGTTTGTCGTTTTGTTTGTTTGTTTTTTACCTGTCTGACCTTGACGTGGACATGTCCGCCTCCATTCCATCATCTGTCCGCTGTTCGTCTGCTTTACAGTTGCTCCTTATCGTTTCCATATCGGCGCGGCGCGGAAACCAAACACTGGGAGCGTCATGACGTCAGGACACGTAACTCGATGCTGTATTTAATGTAAGCAGGTTTTTAAAAAAAAGCCCAACCTTCACTCATTAATAACTCACACTTTGGGAATAATGGAGAAAATATTGTATATGTATGAAATCAAAATTAAATTGAAACAACTCGTTCCTCTGCATTGTTACTTTGGCTAGGCTTTGTTTTCTAATCAGAACACGCGATAGGCTTCATGACAGCGATGTCTGTGATATTTAGATTCACTACTTTTGTCACATCTTCGGGATCACTTGAATCATGTGGTCAGGGCTGGATTACCGACTGCAAATACACCGATGACAAATAACTAGTATCTTAACTTTACAAAAAAGCGGATTAAACTGAGATGGCTGATCAAGATACCACATATATATTTATCCCATCGGACCTGAACGCAGCATTGGCGCGGTGAGTGATGGCCAGTGTGCATCTGATAAAACCTTCTAAGCTGCAAATCCACATAAAACAAGATTTTTATAGTGTTTTGTGTCCTATGCATCATTCCATAAATGTACCTGTACATTTTGCACTACGGTTGAATGGTAGGCCCCATACTTGTTTACAGATACTGTAAATATATTGGCCAATATATTGACGCAGCAGAGACCAACACAGGCTATTATCAATAAAACGAAATAAATCTGCATATTCATGCATTGCCAGACTTCCGCTAATATTTGAATTTGCTAAAATGGCGTACAATATCTTCTTTGATATAATAAATGACTTTAAACGTGGGTGTATTTTTGCATACATTTTTGTTTTACATTTTTGTACTGTTCAAAGTACCATTTAAAAGGAATTTGTTTTAACTGTTGTAGGCTACATCTTATTATCACCCTAATCGACTTAATTCGGTTTTACGATTATTATTATTATTAATTTAAGGCAGAAATACATGTTTATTTTTTATAATGTCATCAACTCGTAGTAACATTTTCTGTTTTTGCATTGATAGCCTACAGTCTTTGGTCTCATCTTATGAATATAGAGTTTCATATTAATGTAAATCACGGTGATGTAAATTTATGTCAAACGACATACTCTGCAATGCTAAAGTAAAAATCCAAATGTATGCTGATTTTAGATAAATATCTGTACTCTATCGGTTAGTAAAGTCAGACTCCAGTGTGAGGGGATGTAACGCTATTTTAAACTGGCACACTTCATTAAAACATATCAGTTTACACAATGAAATTAAAAATCCTGTTGTGTTTTGTTTTTGATGGGTTCTTTTACAACAAATAAATGATTTATATCCCATATCTAATTTGAGTCGGTGAAACTGTCACAGTGCAGGTTGACCCATTAGGATTCACCAACAGGAGGTGAACAGCTGTGTGTCCTGTCACAACAGCTGCAGTGTTTGGTCCGGTGCTGCTGCTGCTGCAGCTTCAGGTCCCAGGCTCCAACTCACCCACATCAAAACCTCCCTCAGAAAACCCGCATGTGGTTTCCTCCCCCTGGGTGTTAACAACGCAATGAGAGGATTTTTTTTTTTACGTTTGTTCTGAAGACTCGCTGGTCACAGAAATGAGGTCTCGGCTGACTTTTCCCCGCGTCGAGTGAAGATCAGGGAAACCGGACCTGTCGATTCTCACCGACAACTCCTAGCATCCTCCAGAAGAAAAACACCCTTACTTATTTTTTTTTCCCCCAAACTGGACACAACTGGCTGCAGGCTGAATAAATGGATAATAACGCTGCTAATTCGGAGAAATCTCATCTGATACACGAGAAGAATGCGAAAATGTATTCCCTGAAACTACAAAGGTGGGAGAAATGTTTTCTGTTATTGCAGCTGCATGAACAATGATGCTGCATGTGAGTACCCGGCTAAGTTACACGAACAGATCCAGCGTTACATTTAGCATGCAGCTGGTGAAAACTGTTCCTGAAAAACATCTGGTCATGTCAGTATGCAAAGAGATTTCGAGGTGATTGTGTCAGGGACAGCAGCAGTTTGAAGTGTGACAGCGGACGCGCCTCTGCAGGAACAGTCCCAAGTCATTGTGTGTTGTATAGTGGTGCATGTTGAGCAGGCTGCCGCTCTTGCGGGCTGTTTTATGTGAATGAACAAATTCATTTCCATGCTTGACTTGTTTCTGGACAGCCTGTGACAAATGGCCCCAGGACCAGTTGACTGAGCAATGCTAAAAACTCATCATCTGTCATTAGGGAGGCAGCAGCAGCTCCCTGCTCGGCATGGGCCGGAAAATCAGCGGGATTAATAACACATGGTATTAGATGTAGGTGTTTTATCTGCAGGCGTAGTTGGCACAGATGCACCCAAAGTGGATTCAGAGAAAAACTGACAGTTTGAAGAAAAAAAGCCTTAAATAAAAGTGACTACAACGATGCGTTTTTTCCTGAGAAGAGTCTTTTAGCACTGAGACATTGATGCTGCAAAAACTGGCTCATTTTATGGATATAAATCTGAAATATTATAGGTTTAAAGAATAAATGCGTCTTAAATTTGTAGCTGTAATAGGCTATAACAAATACAAATTAAACTTGCTATTGCGTTAGAATAAAATGGATCATTTTCACCATTTGTATCAAACGGATTAGTAACAAATCAAATAATTAATGATCAGATTTTTTTCTGCGCGGTCAATCGTGTGGCTGTAACACGTTTGTTCAGAAACATGTGGATTTTCACACAGGAAAAAGTGCAGTCGTTTAAATTCAATCCAGTGTTTAAACAGTCTGCACAGTTTCTGGAGGAAACTATTCCTTCTCATCTTTATCAAATAAGCTGGGTGGTCAGGAGGCCTCAGAACTCTGTCATCCTTAATGGTTTCAGCCAAGCTGGAGGTGAAAGCTGCTGTTTCTCACTTTTTGGAGGCACTTCGCTTCTAAAATTCCACCATCTTTAGAAAAAGACATGACGTGACACAAACGTTTAATAAGCACGTTTTCTTTAAATGGCAGCTTTCATATCAGGCTGTTACTGCAGACTTTTAGGCCTCAGGGAAAAAAAAACACACACATTCCGTTCATGGACATAAAAATGTCCCAGAAATATAAGAAATTGTTATTGTTGTTCAAGGCCAGGTGCTGTGAAAGAAGCCCAATGCTGCGTGCTTATTCCCGCGTGCGTGCACGGGAAGATGTGCATATGGCATCGCATTTGGAATTTCACGCACCATTTGTACAGTGCGTGCGCGCGTGCGCGTGTGTTTACTGCCATCTTTAGCTTATTTCCCAGCTGGCAGAAAGTGACACACCTAAATATATACAGGCCTCCATTTTATACACAGAGTTACATAATACAAATGTTTACACTATAACACATAATGTGGGCAGTGTTAGAATCTCCACAACCAACTGTCATTCATTTAATCATTTTAATTTACTGGCTACTTTCACTAATTCCTGCTTTATAAAATGTTTACAACATAGACCTAAAGACTTTATGAGTGGCTAACAAACATAAATCTACCAAATTCCACGGCAATCTGTCCAATAATTGTTGAACATTTTACTTGAAACCACAAATGTCAAATTCATGGTGATGCTACACCAAAGCCAGAAGGGAACCGGCAGCATGGCTAAAACATTTCTGACCGGTTGTCCACACGTCACATTTTTTCAGAGACTTAAATAGGTGTGAATGTCTTTACTGGGATGCTTCACTAATCGACCCAATCTGAGCTTTGTAGGCAGGTTTAAAAATGAGAATGACACCTTCGTGTCACAGAGCCAGAAAACTGCAACAGAAAAACTGCCCCAAAACAAGTGTGGGTGATACTGATGCAGACTGTTGTACCAAGACACCCAAATTGATCAATATTGATCAGTGCAATCACATACAGCATCTGGCTCTGCCCAGTGAAATGCTGTGGTGTGATTGGGGCTTGACTATTTCTTGGCAGGGCACAGTGACTTCCTGGAACTTTACTAAGTTAATAGTCTCAAGTAATAGCTTCATATTTACTGTACAGGCATAAGAGTGGCATTGATCCTCTTGTATAACTCAGCAAGAACAAGCTGGTCCCATAGTGCTGAATACAACAAGACACATTTCAGTGGTATTCAAATCCACCATCACAACCTTTAAATCAGTACATTTCAGAGGAGGACATGAAAACCTGTTCCTAACAATCACATACAGGGATGGATATGACAACCTTTAAATCAGTACATTTCAGAGAAGGACATGAAAACCTGTTCCTAACAATGTGTCAACTAACAATCACATACAGGGATGGATATACTATATGTACCACATCGATGCCGACTGGTAAAATAAAAGCCTTTCCCAAAGTGAATACGAACACAGCATCAGACTCATCAACGGCAACTCAGTCTAATTATCAGACCACAAAAGCAACTAGACCGACACTTCTCCCTCGAAAGACCAAGCTTTGCTGATTCCTCTGCAGCATCTCACTGCAGGCATCACAGCATCAGCTATAAAAATTACTGTGTTGTATGGTGCTCTGAAAAAAGCAGATTGCAGCAGTAATTAAATGCTCCTAGTTATTTTTTTCAGTGGACAGCTCTTCTGGGGCCTCTTCCTATCAAATTGTTTCACAGATCAACGCGCCAACAAACACCGGACACCAGCCCTGTGGGCTCAGCTCCATTCCAAAGTGAAATCTCATAATCAGAATAGTTAGGAAATGCAGCATGTGGTCAGTCCTGTCGTTCTGCAAACTAAGCATTTAACAAGAAGCTTCAAAAATAGCAATAACGGTAAAGCTCTGTATTTTCAAAGAGATGCATCCAGCGGATCACACAAACACTTCTCACTGCTAATTACTGTACAGTTTTTCTTGCACATACCCAACATGGGGAACAATGTGGGGCTCAGTCTTGTTCAGAGACACTGACAGTTTGACCAGAGGAGCCAGTGATGGACTACTGCACACTACTGTGGCTGTTCCACTGTGCTGCCAGAGCTGATCAGTATAAGGCCGAAAGACACCAAGAAACACAAACAGCACCATTTGCATGTGTAAAAATGTGAAAAGGGCACATGTCAAATTCATGTTTTTAACTGAGGCCTATTCGTCAGATGTGAACTGTCCCAAAACCCAGAGCTTACAGTATGTTACTGTACATGTGCAATGGCGTTTTATGTCTGGTAAATTCAGCTGTTTTCCTCCACCAGCCTTGTTTGCTAAGCAGCTAGAGTAGAACTATAAACGAGAAACATCAGTCATATTAAATGGTCTGTCAATCTAATGTAAAAGTCTCCAGCCCTCCCTCTGTTTGAGCTGTAGTTACATTATGTTACTCCTGATGTCTATTTAATGGAGATTTAGAAGCACAACTGGGTGTTTTGCAGCTGCAGGTGGGAGGTTTTGGCAGACAGAGTCCTTTGAGTTTTTAACCAAGAAGTGACTGATTCACAGGTGTGACTGCATCAACCCCTGTGTGCTACAGGACACTACAGGCTATGCTTACGGTAGTACCCCTTTAAACTACTTGGATCACATGGAATTAGACAGGGCACACAGAGACATCTACACTTGACTGGCAGATAGGATGTTACAACCTTTTTAAGATGCTAGACATCTCGATGGTGATGTGAGAATTAGCAGTGATCAAACAGCCCTCAGACACTTTGAACTTTAGCATGTGTGAGGACATTGCAGATATTACAGAATAAATTTGTCTTAAAACACGGACAGATCTTTATCTAACATATGAAACAACAGAATCTGTTTTATGAATAATTCAGAAGGTGAGGTTTTAAAAAAAAGCTGGAGCTGGCTATCATCTCCGATCATGAGTTCACTGAGAAGGAGGAGGTTAGAAGGTTATTCATAACATTTCTGTATCTATCCAAGCATCTCTTTCTATTGGAGGTCAAGGTTGTGTTTGATGTTATTAGAAACATGACAAAAATGCAATTATGTGAATTATGTATTTGGTGAGAAGAATTACTCATTGCATGAAAAGTGTGAAACCCAGCATGTTTACCGGCATGACTGTGGAACAGATATTTAAATTACACAACCGTTGTGGTACAAAAAACATCTTAAAAATCTTCCATTTAACTTGGTGAACCCTGCACAAACCCTGGGCCAGTAGATTTGTGGCACCGCTGCAAAGCCTCTGGAGCACTGGCTATGTCATGTGTGTGTATCTCTGTTACTGTGTGTTCACTGTTGTTTTCAATGTCCATATTTGTGTGAAGATTTTTTTTACAAATTATTTAAGAACTATGATATTAGCGCGTTTTATGCTCATATTTGAACATAACACTGATCCAAGTCTCCACAGCTCTCGGGTGTATATATGTGCTGTATGTGTGTCTGGAGAGTGTTTGCTCTTATGCCCCAGTGGTATAATTGAACAGAATCTGTTTTCCACTTGGCTGCTTCCATTCAGTGTGGACATCCCTTAAGATGTGTGAGCCTGTGCGTGTGTGATAAAGGCTAATCATGATACACTGGCAATCTCCTGCGTGAAGTGTGTGGCATTAACTGTGTCTGTGTGTGTGTGGTTATCTCGAGCGAGCCCAAATTAGTTTTTTCCCACCTCATTAACCACGGCACTGCAGCTCCCCCTCACCACACAATGTAAGAACATCAACCTGGCTGTGTGTGTGGGTGCTGATAGGAGTGTGTGAGGAAAAAGGGGAGTCAGCATTTTGATTTGTTCTTGTGATTAAAATCCAGCTCAGTGTATGCACTGTCAAAGATGAAGTATATCTACATGTGTAATTCCCAGGCTGAACGCTCAGTCATTGTAACCAGGTCGTGTTCCACTGAGACCAGAGCCTTCTGGGTAAAAATCAAAACACTCTAGGTGTGTGTTGTTCAGGAGGGGATTCGGTTTTCATGCACACAGTCTCCATTGGCTCTTCATTAGATACGAATATTAAGTGTAATCCCCTTCAACAGGCTTCCAATTTGCTCTGTAGCTGTGCTCCATTGCAACATTTACTCACAAAATCAATTTACTCTACAACACATTCACTGTAGATCTGTGGCTGCTACATGGCGAGCAAACACCTGTATGCCAATACTGTGGGCCGCCACTTCTAGCAGGGTGGAGGTTTGGTTTCCAAACGCTTGGACACACTTTTCCATTTAATTCAGTGCAAAAGTGTCCAAACTTTTGACTCAATGTGTGTAACCTTTAAAGGATAAAGCTGGTCATTTTCTATGTTAATAATATTTTCTACAATCTTCATACACAGACTAAAACAAACAATGAAGTGCCGCTACTCACAGTTAATGTTAGCTAGTTTGTTTATGCGATAGATCTCTGTTGTTGTTCAAAAACAGTTAAAAACACACTGCTGCACTGGGTGACATGTTTTATCATTACAAAACCCCAGACCTGACTGTGCTGTCCCAAAGGTTCTGAGCAGCCAGAGTCAACTGCGTATGTGCGAGATCTAGGATGGGCTCTCTGCTTTGTTTACTTTCCACTAGCTCCTCACACTCAGGTCTGGGGTTTACAGCTGGGGCTTGAACATGGAACCTTCTTGCTGTGAGGCAGCAACCCTAACCACTGTGCCCCCATGCCACCCCTCCCTACAGATTAAATAAAATTAAATTTACAGTCTAAATGCTGTAATGCTGCCAAAAAACAAACAAACAAACAAAAAAAAACAACTATAAAAAAGTGAGGGGGACATGCCCTCCCCATTCTAAGTGGAAATTTCACCCTTGTGAAAATCAACCCCCCCCCCTCCTTCTCAAAAAGGGGGATTAGGGGCTAATTTAAAGTCACAGATTTTTATCTGTCTTCATTAACACATATCTTACAAACCTATTCTGTATCTCGGCAGCTCATTTCCAGACTCCAAAGAGCATTATCCAGACTTTCCCTTCAAGAACGGAAGCATGGCCGGTGCCATTGAGCTGAAACGCCCCGTTGGTGCCCATTGCCACGGTGCCAAAGCTCTGACATGTGATCAGAGCGTGGACAAGCTGCTGGCCAAGAAGAAACTCTACATCGCCTCGGCCATCTGCCTCGTCTTCATGATCGGCGAGGTTGTAGGTAAAAGTCTCGAAGCTCAAACCTCAGGAAATAAAAAGAACAGATGGTCAGACATTTGTGTTTCTTCCTTATCAAACAGCAGCTGATAAAAAAGCCACTACATAATACAATACATAACACTTTCTAGGACAAAAATCTAAATACATCTTCACGTAATGTGAATCTAAGTGAATGCATCCTATTCATTTGTCTTTTTTGTAATGTAATTTAAACTTACATTTTAAGAATTAAACAAGTAAAATTGTGGCTACACCAGTATCTTGACACATAAGCGAGAGGTTTTTGTTACAGTATTTCTACTACTGAATGAGCAGTCTGTCTTATTGGACTTATTCAGATGAGCAAAAGTTTTGAGAGCAAAAAAAAAGAGAATTGTGAGAATACAGTAACTCCAGAAGGAACAAGGATACTGTAACAGGATGTGTGTGGCTAGTAAAGCCTCCATTCATAGTTTGAAATCACCCCCAGACTTTTTCAGACTAGCTCCAATAGAAGTCACTTTTCAGTAGGCAAAGGTTCGACATTAATCTGACCCTAACAGCTGGACTTGAGTATGTGCCTTTAAGGCATGTTAGTCAAAAACTGTTAGCGTGTCATGTTCACAATTCTCCAAGCCAGATGGAGAAAATGTGTAAACAGATTTTGAACAAATGTACATGAGGGTTTTGTGAACAACACTTGTTCTGTGCTCATGTTTCAGCCTCCTATTGCTCTTAAACTTTGACTTTCAGACTGTTTGGTCACTGAACTAATTGGGAACTGATTAGTCCAACAATCCATTCAGTGTTACTCCTTGTGCCCCTTTTTATACTGGAGCACTCAGATTATCTCTGCAGACATACTTCAACAGTTCCACATCGTATCACTAGGTTATTTCCCTACTTCCTGCAGGAGGCTACCTGGCCCACAGCTTGGCCATCATGACGGATGCTGCCCACCTCCTGACAGACTTTGGCAGCATGATGGTGAGCCTGTTCTCCCTGTGGATCTCCTCCAGACCGCCCACCAAAACCATGAACTTTGGTTGGCACCGATCAGGTCAGGCCCAGAGACCAGCTACCATTAGCTACACATTAGCTATTACTTTATATGAAGGCGGCATCATCAACATGTCTTCAACTGTACTGTGCTTAAGGCAAAGTGTAGAGCTAGTCTGACTGACTGAACAGCTCCTGTGTGTGGACAATACAGTCATGCACCTGCTAAATGTACACGTGTGACAATGTGAGTTCAAAGCCAAACATGTCGCTCAATCTGTAACACACAGACACGATTTTCAACCTGAGACAATTTCCACTCCCTTTAGTGTTTGCATTTGTACTAATCAAAACAAACATCACACTGTACTCACAACCCATGTACAAACATGTGAGAGCCCTGTGACCTGTGTGCATCATGGGGTGCGTGATTCAATTAAAAGCTATTAGCCCTGTCATATAAAGACTAAAGTACCAGGTGAAGTCCACAAAACTATTATACAAGGCCTTCAAAATATACAGAATTTGATATTAAATTCCTTAGCAGCATAGCGTTTGAGCATGTCCAGTGTGTGATGAACTACATGACACTGATTAGGCCTCTTCGTCTCTCCACAGAGATCCTTGGGGCATTCATCTCAGTCATGTCCATCTGGATCGTTACGGGGGCCCTGGTCTATTTAGCCATCGAGAGGATCGTAAGCAACGACTATGAGATCGATGGCCATGTAATGTTAGTCACCTCCGGCTGCGCTGTCATTGTCAACATTATGTGAGTGGTGCTGAGCATAATGGTTGTTAATGGTTTTAATAGAGTACATCAGAACTTGCCAGAGTCTTGTTTTAAAAACATCTCACCTTCAGCAAATTTATATGTTTTGGAAAATGAGCACAACTGGACACAACTCCTAAAAATGTGGAAACAAAAACCATGTATTGGTTGTATTTATAGTGGCTGTGTTGATTATTTTGTGATGTTGGACTTTTGGTCTGTAGCTGTAACTCCACTTTTTAAAAACTTTTTTAATACCTACTATTTCAATTTCAGACTATTTTGTTTCTTGTTTCTTCATTTATTGAAGCTGAGAAAAGGTGACAAATGCAAAAAAGTCATGTTGAACTTCTGAGTTAATTTTTATCTTGTTATTAAAAAGTTGTTTCCTCTTGATAACACGTTAATTGTCAGTGGTGGAAAGTAATTAAGTACATTTACTTAAGTACAGTTTTGAGTTTTGTACTTTACTTGAGTATTTTCATTTTGTGATACTTGATACTTTGACTTCACTACATTTTAAAGGCCACACTACATGTATTTTATAACTTTGGTTACTAGTTACTTTTTAGAACCAGATAAAAACAAAAATATAATCATAAGACTTTATTGATCTCTGGTGGAAAGTTCACAAGCTACCCAGCAGTAATTGAAATTCTAAGTATATGAAGTAGCGAAAGCCTCCTCCACCTTCACCAGCTGCAACATTAAAAGGGATGTGCACAATAATACACCAGTTATTATAAACCAATAATATGATATACTGTACATTAATGTTAAATCTGCCATTACTCATAATGAGTACTTTTACCTTTAGTATTTTAATAATGTTTGATGCCAATACTACACTATACTACTATACTATTTTCAATGCAGGACATTTACTTGTAACAGTATTTTTACACTGTGGTATTGCAACCTTTACTAATGTGTAAGGAATGTGAGTACTTTCTCCACCACTGTTAATTATATTGTTATATAAAGAGTGACAACAGCTCCTTTTCCCAAAATGCCTGGATAAATAATTGTTTTCCACAAAAAATGCTGCCTTCTTCAGGTAATGACTTGTTTCTCAACAAGTCATTACCTGAAGTGACATTCTACGAATCTGTATTCACTCCTTTCTTATAGCATAATTATTTTTTTGTGCATTCTCATCAAGTTTAATGAAATACAACCAGAACGAGATCAATATGAATGCAGCTAATTAAAAAAGACATGCCGAACCCTAAAGTAGGGCTGCAACCAGTGATTATTTTCATTATAAATTAATTAAGTTTTTAGCGTAAAAGAATTCAGTAAACTGTTAAAAAATAGAAATAAGAGACATTTGAGAAGCTGGTACCAAGAAATGTTTGGATTTTCTACTAGAAACGTTAATATAATGATTATTCACTTATCAAAATAGTTTTTTCGAGCACTTTACTGAGTAACTTACTAATTGTTGCAGCTCTACACTAAAGTACCTCCGTCTCTCTGTAGTATGGCCTACATCCTCCATCACTCCACCACGCTCCACACTCACGGCAGTGGTTATCACCAGATTGATGAGGACGGTCAGAGTCCCGTCACTCACGGCCACGCCCACACGCTCCTCAGTGGCCACAGCAACACCAGCGTCCGTGCCGCCTTCATCCACGTGCTCGGAGACCTGCTGCAGAGTGTTGGCGTCATGGTGGCAGCGACCATCATCTACTTTCGGGTCAGATATAGATCATATTCATGTTAGGGTGAGACCAAAATGTCAGCATGGCCCTTTAAGAAAAGAAATCACATTTTAACTTGCATTGCAATTATAAACTCATTACTCTTGTTAATATAGACCTAATTGTTACAAGAACTTTTCTTTAATACATCTTATAATGGTGAACACGACCTCATGGCAATCGTAGTGTAATTTAAAGGCATATTTAATGTGTACACAAGTGTCAAAAGAAAGCATGAACACTTTAATTTACTGCTTTGTTTGTTATGGATGAAAGGGTTAAGTATTTAGATCATCATGCAAGATGTTCTCTCCTCTCTCCTCTGAGTGTTTTAATACCCCATGACTGTGCGAACTGCCATCTGATGTCTCTTTACAGTCTCCATAATGTCCGTTTGTCTCTTTCAGCCTGAGTACAAAGTTGCAGATCCCATCTGTACATTCCTCTTTTCTGTCTTTGTCCTCTGCACCACCATCACCATCCTCAGAGATGTGTTCAGGATACTCATGGAAGGTACCGCAGCTAGAGTTCAACAGTTTTTTCTTATGCTCAAAAAATGTTTAGTTTGTCAGAGAAAGATGGTGAAAGTCTCCTAGTGTGGTTCTGGTGACGATGACATAGAACAGTTGTTTTTTAAAGCTACAGTATGTAAAGTAGCACGAAACTCCAAATCGACCCACTCTGCCCACCCTACACTCCCTCTCCCTGCTCCACTATGATCTGCTCCATTGCGCTCTGCCCAGCTCTTCAGATATTTGTCGTTATAAAATTACAATAAATGAGAGCTCAGTATCACATTAGGTCATGTTCTGTACATTCATGAGGTAATTTAAAATGTTTTACAGCTGACTAAAATACTGTACAGTATCTGTAGCTGGTAGGACTCATGATGATCAGTTTATGTACACAGCAAGTACGTGGATGGAAGCTAGCAACAGGATTTTGTTAAATTATTAAGAAAACTGTTCATTAGTTAACACCACAGTGTTGCTAACACTTTCATTGCATTCAGCTTATGTAGAACAAAAACCAGGAGCACAGATGGTAACATCTCGGGGTTGTCCTGAGACGTGTGGAGCATTTTAAATATTCTCTTAGCACATCACTGAACTTCCAAAAGATGACATAGTAACATTTAGTGATGCGTAACAAGGCCTGTCAACAAGCAGCGTGTTGGAGTAGAGATAAGTCATGGCAGAAGGGCCATTCATAATATAAATCTAAATTTCATACATTTCTATACTATAGCCATCTAAACATATTTTGATGTTGTTCACATTCCTGGCACTAGCATACAGTATGTGACACTGTAAATCAGTTAAGGTTACCAGCAAAGTAATGAAAACCAGTGACCGCAAAGGTCGTTAGTGTCTGAATCCCTGTCCAGATATAAATGTTTGGTGCCCGATGTATGAAAAAACAAACACTACAACCAGGTGTTTATTATCATCACAAATATTAGGTTTCCATCAGTATGGGGGATATTTCTGGTGCCATCTGAAGCAGACTGTGCTTTGCACCATGTGACACAGTGTCACAGGGAGACTGTAGGACCTGGTGTGTGTTAACTTGTGGCTTGTTGTTTTTCAGGGTCTCCTAAAGGAATAGAGTTTAACTCGGTGAAGGAAGTGCTGCTGTCTGTGAAGGCTGTGAAGTCCATGCACTGTCTGCATCTGTGGAATCTGACTCTGGGCCAGGCGCTGGTCTCTGTTCACCTGGCCATAGGTAACCTAACATACTAATCTGCTGCTAATGAACTATAGAGGGATAAGTGGGATACTGAAGAATTAAGTACTGCAGATAAGAGTAGAGCAGCACAATGATGAGAGGAGTACAGGTCAGCAGAATAAAGAGGGTACAGTAGAATAATCCAGAGCAAAGGCGAGTAAAAGGCCATGCAATAAAATCAAGTGAATCCAGTGCAGTGCAAAAGAAACTGAACAGTAGAGCATAGTTTACTCTCTTTAAAGAAATTATGGGACTGACTGGCAAAGGCTATTAAAAATAAAGCAGGATGGGCTAATAAAAGCTCAGTACAGAGCAGACCAGAATAAATCAAGTCAAGTAGAGTTATGAAGAATTACAGGACAGATGTTTGGAGAAAAGTAAAACCTGTTATAGAGAAGAACAAACTGCAGAAGATAGTTTGAATTAGTAGAATTTTATGGTGACAGATCAGTGATAGCAGATTTAAAATAAAAAAAATTACATTTGCAAACACATTTGATGATTTGCAGGAGAAAAGACATTTAAACACATGTTAAACAGTTGAATTTGGTAAGAAGGTGAAAAGGGTTACTGGTCACCTACAAGAACATGAGTGTTAAAGCTCTTTGGGTGAGTCACTTACAACTGCCTTTACTTTACTGCTTACAACAGACTCACCGTGTCGTTCTCTGTTCTTGTGTTTGGCTCGTTCCAGAGGAGGGTGCTGACCCTCAGTCTGTGCTGCAGGAGGCCACCGACCTGCTCCACACCAAGTTTGGCTTCCACAGCATCACCATCCAGGTTGAGCTCTACTCTGAAGACATGAGCCACTGCTCCCACTGCCAGGACCCCAGTGACTGATACTGACACTGGACCGAACTGGACTGGATCCAACAGGACATGGAACGGCTCAGGCATATTATCATTCTCTCTGGCTGGCCTGGACCAATGAGAGCTGTATTCACAAGGCTTGTTAAAGGAGTAGAAAGAGGGATTTTTTTGTTAATAGTTGTGTTTCCCATTAAGTCACAAGAAATAGACAATAAAAATCCTCCATGTGTTGGTGGTAGAGTGCTGATGCTGGAGCTCCATGCTAACATGAAACATGCTAACTGCTGTAAGTCTCACAGTCCTCCTCAACAAAGTTGTGTATGGTGCTCCAGTCCTCATGGGTGCAACCTTTTTTAACTAAAAAACTTCACAAAATAAAATGTGAAAAGTCAGTTGAAGTAATATAGCAACATTTACATTTATGCAACAACAAAGTTCAGTTGTACAGTCTGTTCAAATGGGTGATGTTTTATGAAAGAAGCTGCTGGATGAAAACACTGCCTAATTTTTTTGTATTTTATGTACATTAAGGAAAACTGCCAGATATAGAGGCACATGTTGTCCACAACTTTTTTTAATCTTTACAGCTTCATTTTCTCACTTTTCTGATAATGCTAAGCCTAATATGTTAGCATGGGGCACACAGTTGGTTAACAGAGTGTGTGCTAACTTGTTAGCATGGAGCATCTCATGTTAAGGATCTACTAGGGACATGTGGATGATTTTGATGTCTGTTGTTTCAACAGTAACTTTACTAAATGGCCTATCTACCAGACTTACTTTACAGTCCACTGGCAAGGTCGTTCCATTTGGCTTCTTCTACTAAAGGTCAGACACAAATCTGCAATGCTAGCTGATCTTAAATGTGATTTTTACAGTTGTTTTGCTGGAAATTTATTTATTTCATGGCATAAAGTCATGGTAATTTGTAACACAGTGATAAAGGTTTTAAGGAAGAAAACCCCGTTATTAGATATATTTTATATACCACTGGTAAACGTAGAAAGATCACTAACTGGTGAAGTCATGATAAACAAATGAGAAAGTATGTTAAGGGATGATTAACCATTTGAAAACATTAATCCAGGAAATCTGCAATGTGTCAAAAAAGTGGAGCTGAAACAGCAGCTATCAAAATGAATAAAAGGCAGATGGACACAAAATAAAATAAAATGAAAAATCAGATGATATGGACTTAAAAATTTTGTGGTCAAGTCTCAATAGGGGCTGAAGGGTGGAAACATACAATTGTCAAGGATTTTGGTAAAATGGTGCCCGGTCTGAATCTGTCACTCTGGTCCTAAACCGTGAACTGAACTGCTCTATCGCTCCCTTTAAACACGATACTGTGCTATACCTCACCATGCTGGCTCAATGTCTGTTAGGCTCCGTTCACTTTACAGGCCTTAATGCTCAATTCTGATTTTTTTTTTTTTTTTGTTGTTGATGGTTCAGTGATGTTTGTAAATCACGTTAGAATCTTTTCCTTGCATCTTACTGGTAAAACACACTGGAAGCATTTTCTTCTTCTTCAGCATGCTGAAATGGCCGAAAAGCCACAGACAGGGCCCGTCTGGTGCCAACAGTGCAGGACAGATGTCCACCAAAGGTCTAATGGCTTGGTGTGTCACAGCCCTAAGACCCAAGAAAAAGGAAATGCGGATAAAGTTAGTGGAACTGGGATTCACCTATCACATAGTCAGAGATTGGATATAAATCAGATTTGGGAGATTTCAGCATGTAATGTTAACCTACCTTTACATAGGTTCAGCAAAACCTGGACATGACCAAACTCTCCACCATACTGTACTTTCATTTTGTTACATCATGCCCAAGATAAGGAGTCACTTAGGAAAATGAGAGTATTTCACATTGGTGAATTTCTAGGTACAATTTAACTGAAATACGTGGATTGGTTGTCATGCAGTCGATGCTTATTATATCATCATCAGTCTGAAAACTAGTTTTTGGTGGCAGGCCTTTTAATTTTGTTGTGTTTCAGTTTCTAAAGTCAGTGCACAAAACTCAATAGCAGTGTTTGATTCTGCCTCGAGTATGCATCTCAGCGAGAAGTGCTTGCTTAACGGAGAACAGTGCATTGATAAGAATTTAGCAGTAGGAAAATGGGAAAATGTCAGGCTGAAAAAGTGTTCACCTAGTTCCAGTGTCAACTCTGAGCAGACGATCAGGTCTGAGGGCAAAAATGATTTAGTCCTGCAGTCGGGCGATTAGTTCCAGCTTCATCCTGTCGTCTCATCTATCTGTCATCCCTCCTATGGCTTCACTGTTACTCATTCATCAACTATATGTCTCTCTGTTCCCTAAGCTTTCATCCATGCATCAAGCAAGCCTCGAGTTGGCTGATAGAACACTTTTGGTGCTAAAATCCAACAGGAAGCCTGTAATATTTTCAGCTACTTGTTTAGTTAATCAATTAAAATACGGGAGGTAATTACTCCTTAATTTGTATCTGAGACATAATCTTACACAAAAGTGTGCTTTTGTATGACATTCAATTTAACAGAGCAAGTTATTTCTGGTTACTTGACCCAAAAATAGTTCATCCTCTGTGGAGCTAGACTGTGCTCATTAAAACTGACAAACTGCCTGCTATAATTTGATCGGGTTTTAGACTGATGGTGGCACTAAAAGGAAGCATATACCATTGTAGTAATTACATCTTACATAATTAAGATTCATCCTCTCGGGACAATGAAAACCAACAGCATGTTCCACTGAACTTTGGACAGTTTTAGTAAATGTTGGTCTTCAATATTTCAGCTTTGGAGTTTAGAAAAACAAATCATATATCTGTAGGAATCATATTACGCACCATAAGAAAAGCCAATGAGCCAGTTGACATGCCTATAATGTTTCACAGCTACTATAAAGTGATGATGTTGATAATTGCTTTTAAAGTAGGAACATCTGTACGTTGTAAACACCTAGTTGACATCCATTCTGATCCAAATACTTGCATGGTTGTTAACTGTTACTCACTATCATGAAGAGCAAAAAGTTCCTTCTTCAACTGCCAATCAGAATACATTGACGCACCATGCGAGGATGAATCAAAGAAAAAAAATCTTTAAAAATCTAGTTTCTCCAGTTTTTATGAAGATCCTGCATAATTAAATATATTTTAATACAAACTGAGGAACCAACAGCTATGAAAACAAAGTTAAAGTAATGACGGCCAATACATTTTGCTGTACTGGTTTTGATATACAGACAAAGTACAGCCAGTCTTCTATACAGTCTGAGGAAGTTCATTTCATTCCAGAAAAACAGTCTGTTCACTGTGGAAGTCTAATGTCTAAGAATGCTCTGTTTCGTGCTGTTGCTGTCTGTGGCGATTATATTTTGTGTGACTGTGTAAATATATCAAATATTGTGTATTTTCTGTGTATACATGTGTAAATACATTTGCCTTCCTTGTACAATCAGTCTTTAATAAGTCATGTTTGTCTGTGTCCAGGTAATGTCACATCTGTGATGTTTGATCGTTTTTATGTGTGGCAAGGCTTTTTTGTAACGTGAAATAAAAGACTGCAGATGATGAAAAGAAGCTTGATTATTTTTGACATGTCCATTGAGGCAAAGTAACGAGTCTACTTTAAATTTAGCTTTTTTAGAATCAGAATCAGAATCTGCTTTTTTGGCCAGGTGTATCGGACACACGAGGAATTTGACTCTGGTACATCGGCTCTCAGTGTGTATGTACATAGTCCCATGCAAGGGGCAAGTAAACAATAAACCAGCATAAGACTGTGTAATATAACAAAATAAACAGTATTAACAAGCAACAATGCAAACAATGCAAAATAAACAGGCAGTAAACAATGCAGACAGACAAAGGAATGCTCACTGAAATCAAATAGGAATACAAATAGAGTACGAATCTGTATAGTCTGTATGAGGTATATTTACAGGTATTGCACTGAGGGTTATTGTCCAATCATACTGTCGTGGGTTAAGTGTCCATCAGAGCGACAGCCTGGGGGAAGAAAAAGTCCCTGTGCCTGGTTGTCTTGGTGCACAGTGACCTGTAACACTGTGCACAGGGGAGGAGTTCAAACAGATTGTGTCCAGGGTGTGAGGGGTCTGCAGTGATCCTCTCCACCCTCCTTTTGACCCATGTGGTGTACAGGTCCTCCATGGAGGGCAG